TCCCGCAAAAGTCCTCATATTATATTTCACTATACTATCATACAATACAATAAATATCACTGTTTTTAATATCGTTACTATTATTTCTTAATTTTTTAAAACTCCAATTAGTTCATCGTTTATGGTAAGAATTGCTACACCAAAACTAAGTATTTTAAATTATCAATTGTATGCATTGTTTTCTTCATAGAAAATTGAGTCACGAATGAGTATTTGTATTGGATAGAGCTCTACAATCCATCTAATAGTACATAGAGTTATTTAAGTTCAATTTCAAGCATAACTGATGATCACGATCTAAAACGTTTTGTTATGGTTCTTTTAATGAATCAATTTACATAGTTAGAAGTTGATTATGTTACAAAAAGAAAACTTGTAATTCATATCAATTGAATTGTAAATATGCAAATGTTTGCACTAAAGTATTATTTATTGATTTTTGCTATAATACAAAATTAGATCAACAGTCACATTGTGTATCATTAAAAATACCACATTATAATTTTGCTTGTACTGCAAGTGAATAAATTTTACCTGGCAGGGGATAAGTCTATGGTGGCTAACACTAGGGGAATTTCATATGCTAAGTTGTATGATCCCAATCTTAATAAGTGGACTTTTTTACCTAACATGAGTATCTTGAAGTACAAATATATAAGGGTAGCATGGGAAGAAAAAGTTCTTGTTGTTGGTGGATTCATTAACAAAGAGGACTCTGACAAAAGGAGACCATTTACAATTTTGCGTAGCTCTATTGAGTTGTATGACATGCAAGTACAAAAATGGAATCTCATGGTAAGAATGTGGCAACTTGATATACTACCTGATCAAATTGTGATAATTCATAACAGGTTATTTAGTTCTAATGATTGTTTAAAAGCACGAAAAGATCATATGAATAATATGATAGCGAACTTAACATGCAGAATAAAGGTAATGGACCTAACCTCAAAATGCTAAATTCTCTAATTTATATATTAGATCATATTCATGAAAATTAAATATCAAATAATCTTTTATACTTAATAATAGCTCCAAGGAGAACCCATCTATATTTTTTTAGGTACATACCAAATACTCAAAAAACAATGTCAATGATGCACATATTTAACACTACAGCCACAAAAAATGCATGAATGGGTTTTGAACCAACAGAACACGAGGGAGAGAAGGAATTTTACAGCACTGTTGTGTTGTTAAACTCTTATAAACTTCAATTATTTTATAATAACTTATAGATATTTTTATATTTATTTATAAAAAATACAATTAATTACATATCTAGTGAAATCATATGACATATTGTATCTTATAAAATATTTTACATAACAGTTTATATATATAAACATTATTTTAGTTATTTTTGTTTGATGCGATGCTCCCATTGTTATCATTATTGAGAAAGTAAATGATCTGCCACTCTATATGATCAAACAAGAACAACCTTGTGATAAAAATTTTCTTCTTCTTTGATTAAAAGGTTTTCTTGAATTAAAAGATTTCCAAGAGTTTAATATGATTATCCAAACACTTCATAATATATATTATCCATGAAAAGCACCATAATTCCATAATTATATACTTGTGAATGGAGCATAGATCACTTAAAAAAGGTTAAACAACTTTTAAGTAGCTTAGAAGTAATCTTACTTTGTCCCCAATAGATTTAGACCCCAAAAATTATATATATATATATATATATATAAAAGAGAATAGCATATGAATTTTCTTGATGTTGCTTGTCCAAAACAAGAAAGGGTTGATGACCCATCTCATATTATTATGCCATGTTTGGCCATTTTTAAACCTCTACATTATATAAATGTGTTATTATTAATTTTCTAAATTTGTTATTTGATTTTCGATTGGGCCCAATTAAGAAAGCCCAGATTTGGGCCCATAACCCAACAATAAAAAATAAAAAATAAAAAATTGGGTGACCTAAAAAATATTACAATTAAGCCATTGGAGGCCTGCGTTGCCCAAACTGAGAGATAAGTCATCAACCCAAAAGTGACAATTAACATGAAAAGAAGAGAAAGTGACCCGAGCCAAAAGACGGTTTCACGTGAGCCATCAGCTCGCTCAGCCATGCAACCACACACCTGACCCCACTGACCCACCCCCCTGACAACACACCCCCGGTCAACTTTTTTCCACACACGCAACTCGCACGTGTGAACCGTCACCACCACTCTCGCACGCGTCAGATCTCCACGCCTTTGACTTTGACCCCGAAGCCAGAAACTCCATGCAAAACGAATCGGACGGCTGAGATTTGACGGAATGGGAGAGGAGATCTGGACCGTTGGAATGATAAGAGAATCTCGAGAAATGGATGTCCACATGCCGGTTTCCACCTGAAAAGGCCGACACTGGAAGCTGACATGTCGGTTCTGACCAACGCGGAAGGAGGAAAATAGGTTAATCTGATGACACGTGGCAGAAGAGGGCGACGCTGATATTGACACGTGGCAAGATGTCAAAGGTGGGGACCATGGAGTTGAGGAAGTAAGGCAAACATGGTGAAATAACCCGACACGGTGCATGTGAGAGGGTTTTAATGCGAGTTGGGTCTCGTTTGGTAATTTATAATTTTACCGCAGTAATTTTTAGAGCTATTTACATATTGGTAAAAAATATTGTTAAGGACTATAAGAAGGGGCATTTATGGAAATTCACATGAGATAAACATGCAAGAGTCTAGTAGGGTAGTGTGTCCTAGCTAAAGGGTGTGTTTGGTTGGGGGAGATGGGTCCATTAGCCAACAAAATATACATATATATAGATATAGATATGGGTATATATACGTTAAATGGGTGCTTGTCATGATCCAGACACTAGGGTACCCTAAAAAAGAAAATTTATATAATTATAACTATAAAATATATAATAATTATAGTAGATAGGGAAAGTTGACACCTTTTAATCTGCATGGTGTATGTCCCCTAATTTAAAGGGTATCCCCCCAAATGATTGTGAAATATTTAGCCTTACAATTACAAAAGTTGCTTCCCCAAAGTTCTTTCTTTTTCTTTTCCTTCCTTTTTTTTTTAAAAAAAAAAAAAAAATTCTTCTTCTTAATCTTCAAGAATAAAATAATGCCCTTCATAAATTTGGGCTTTAAAAAATTTATTTATCATTCAAATTATGCAAATTATATTTAAATAATTATATTCTATACTTTATCTAGATATAAAAAAATTTATGCACCCCATACTATAAACAAATAGATAAAATAGTATACCTCATATGGAAGTGCAAGAAAGTCCAACTTGAATTATCGAACAACTAAAAACTGGTAAGTCATATTTCTAATATGTACAAGAGCAAGCTCAGGTTTTTACCATATAGTCCAAAAGAAATTTTCATTAAGAAAAAATTTCTCCAAATTCCAAAGCTCTCCCCTTTTTTTCAATCACACCAAGTCACATATATATATATATTTTTAATAAATATAAAATTATATTAATTTTTTAATTTATTATGGTACTTTAATTGAAAAAATATAACTGTAATAGTGTTTTTATACTTAAAAATTTAATAAACATACTGAAATTTAATCAAATTTAATTATTATAATCTTACAAATATATTAATAAATTAAATTTTTTACCTTAAAGACTAGAGCTTTTGTTGGTATTCATGATATCTCCTTTTCCCTCCCTTCCCGTAGATATAATATATATGTGCATACATGTCCCTCCTTTTGCAGAGCTTGCTTGGAAGAACCAAACTTTGATTCTAGTGTGAATCTAAAGCTTTGGGTTTAAGACTGTCTCCATAACTTTATCCTTCTTTCTTTGTTTCAAGAACTGAACTGCCATGATCAAGACCCACGTAATGAACTAGGACCAGGGTACCCTAAAAACATGGGACAAGAAGGTAGCAGCAGTTGGCCACCGGTTGGATCTCCATTGAACTTGCAGAGAGAAGAACACTGGCGACATTTTGACAACTCAGTCAATGCGGTGTCGTTTGGGTTTGTTGCCACTGCCATTCTTATCTCCATGTTCTTGGTCATGGCTATCGTTGAGAGATTCCTTAGACCCACTTCTCCACCTGATTCCAGAGCCCATGCTGGTGACCTTGAATCTCAGACGGGCAAGCTTGGTCTTCAGTCACCCAAAGTGAGTCTCCCCCTTTTTCTTCATTTTCCTGCTTGATTATTTGCATGTATTTTGCTAGACTGATGTTTTTCAGTTCTGGCTAGTGTTCAAATTTGCATCTTTTGTTTAGTCATCCATTCATTTTCTTGTGTTCTTTGGTTTTCCTTTCTGGGTTGTGTTTAAAGTTGTTTGCTTGACGAGCAAATTTGGAATTTTTCTCTGGATAAATCTAAAATTGTTGTTTGTCTGGTTCTTTTTCATGAGAAAGTAAGAAACCATTTAGTGATAAAATTAAAGGAGATCATTTTGAAGTCCTTTTGACAGTTGGGGTGGTTTTCATTGTCTTGCAAACAGTGATGATTATGGGTCTGACACAAAATTTTGCTGTTGTCATTATTTTTCAGTAAAATCTTTTATGAACTTGCAAAATTGTCAGTGGTGAATTTATTATTTCAGGAGTTTTTGGTCTTCTATCTTCTTAAATTTCTTCTGGGATTTCAGCAATCTTCTTACTGTCTCTTAAATACTATTCGGTATTTCATCATATATGCACCAATATTTTTTCTTCTCTTTGGTTATCTCCAGGATTTATGACTTTCTATCAGTTAGATTTTGATCATTTTCTCCCATACCAAAGATTAGAACTTTCTGTCTTACTCTTTCCTCTTCCTTTTACCCTTTTCACTTGTGAGAATCTCAATGTTATTACAGTCTTAATCCAGGTCATCAAAGTTCCAAACATTGGTAAAACAATACCCAGTTAACAGATTTGATAAATTTTCACAATTAATTCTTACTCTGCAAGTTAGATTTTTCCATGGAGATTTTAATCAAATAGCTGTGCTGTCTAAGTAGTTATGGTTGCTGGAAAATGGCCCATCCAAGTAGTTGTCTATTGAATACTTGGTCCCATAACCAAATAGTCTTGAGACTAGATGGCTGAAGACTAGGGTTAGGGGACAGGTGGTCACCCCCTGTTTTTGGATAAGTCTTTGTTAATTAGTTCAGTGTCTTATTTTTTAGCTTTAAATTTAAACGAATACATCCCATTTAGCCTCACTAAACTTATTAACATTCTTCAATATTGTTGGACTATAAATAATTGGTTGGACCATTTTCTATTAGATTACGTTTTTTGGATAATTAGTTTAATCAATTATTTAACATGGTATCAACGTCAGAGGTCTAATGTTCAAATTCTATTAGCTTCGTTTGTACAACGTTTCATAGGCTTGTGCATGATTTATGCGTGAGGGGACATGTGAAAATCTAAATAATTGATTGGTTCCTTTCCTATCAGTTTAAGTTTCTAAGATAATTGGCTTCAATCAATCTATTGCTTAAGAAATATGTTTTAAGATTAATGTTAGTTGATGATTAGATTAGCCTAAATCAGGTTGATTTGCTTTAAAATATTCTTAAGTACGAACATGTTTGTGGTCTACCATTTGCCATACCTTTTGAAGAACACACAAGGCCCACTGACTCTCTCAAAGCTATATTGTTCAATTTGAGGGCCAGATTCTTTTGATATGGGGTTATGGCATTAGCTTTGAAAAGAAATATGCTTTGTTTAAAGGTTGGTTTGATACTTATTAGTCTAGTCTTAACCATGAATCTTGGGAGCATTTTTCGGAACCCATCCGATTAGATTAGCCTTAATCATTTGTTAAAATACAGTGATAGCTATTTTAGAAAAAAAAGAATATCTACACTAACCGTCCGGTTACATCATTTCGTAAGACACCTTATGTACCATATTCATATCTATAATCTGTTTAGACAGGAAATGGCCTGTGATGTTTGTTGAGCTGCGGTTGGGGGGGAACATTGCATTTGTCCAAGTTCAGAGTTATTGTCATCTTCTGCCTAATACTTTATTAGAGTTATTAGCTTTGCAACACCCAACAAAATACGAACCTTGATATAATGTGGTAACTCGTGTGGCCTCGTGCTGACAACAGTACCCAAATCTAACACTTCGATGACAATGTTAGGTTCTTATAAAAAATCATATGGTATTAGTAAGAATTGCTCAATATGTATATAAATTATTATAGGTATTCATACTTGATCGATATAGGATTACATTATGCTACGAGACAGAATTGGTTTTGACACCATCTTAGATTTTTATCCTAAATCATGCAGTTTTACAAAGAATCGTCTAAAATGTACATAAACCAGTATAAATCTTCATACTTAGTCTGTAGGATTACATCCCTTAATAGATAGATTGAATTCAGCTACCAAGACAGTTTCTTGGTTCATGAATTTTTTTTTTTTCCGTTCTGGGGGAAATTTAGCTGAAATGATCTCATCAATAGGATTCTCTTCCTACAATTGTTCCTTGGATATGATATTCCGAAACCTCATTCGAAATTTGTGAAGAATTAATATTTGATGCTTAGACTTGTCATTGCCAAGATTTAATAGTATATATAATTTTTGCCTAGGATACCTACCTGAGACCATAATATTGTTGGGGTGTATCTTTAATAGCCTTGATCAATCAAGGCATGCAGTTATATATACATATTTGATTCCTATATGGGTTCCCACTACATTGTAATGAAGTTAACAGCTGGTGCATGAACTCAAATACTCACTTATCCTGACTCACGTCTGACGTTAACCTGCTCAGTAAATATGATTCAGTTCTGTGTTTTTTACTGCTGTAATTTCCGTCACCAGTTTTGGTTCAGCGTTTTCGGGAAAAAAGAAATGTGGGTTGTCTTCTTCGCATTTGAAATTGTGATATATGCTGTAACTTTTAGAACACTCTTATAATTTTGTGTTGGAATCAAGAGTTATTTCATATTTATATAAGATGTTTTCTTGATCCATTTTTTTAAATCCAGATGACATTTTATTCCAACGGAGTTTCTGTATTAATGCCCGGAGAAGATATTCCTACGTTCATCGCTAAGCCAGCCCCGGTGTCTTGTCCTCCGGGATGCATTTTCTGTCCTCACCATCATCATGTTTCCTTTCCGAATACAAATAATTCCAATTCAACCTCAATGCAGGAAAGCTGAAAACAGCCATTGCTTCCGCGCAAGGATTCAACACCGAGCTACAATCATTTGAGAGAATACAACGGGGTTTTTCTTTTCTTCTTTTTTTTTTTTTTTTCTGGGTCATCTTCTTGGCTGGATATATCAATATAATCAGAGTAGTGTATATAGTTGCCATTACTTTTTCAGATGGGGAAGGTAGCATTGGGATATATAGAAGTTGGCTGGCTTGGTATTCCCATCTGTTTTATGTTTTCAGAATCAAAACGAAATTTTATGGTTATATTTCTCTTAAGTTACCAAAATCTCCTCAGTTACTCTAAAATTGCATTTCTTTCCCAACTCCTCTGGACATTACTCTAAGATCTTATTTAACAATTGTTAAGTAGGCCTTTTCATGATTATTGAGTAGCCCAAGTTTCCATTTTGAGTATTAGAACACCTAATCTTCCACCGAAAGACCAAAACCCTAAATCCGTTGTCTTAATGTTGGGTAATTTTGAATGTTTTGGAACATTCTTTCTTTGCCCAAAGTGTTTGAATTTGATTGGATTGCAAAAGGGTTTTTGTTTTTGTCTGTATTATTAATGGTAGAAGACAGCCAAAGCAACAATCCAAAATCACAGAAACTTTCTCGCCTACCAAACAAACGATCCACATAAAAATTAGGACCACCCACTAACTTGTCCAATTTCTTAACGGCTATAAACTGGATTTCCCTCCCTCTCTCTCCAAATTTTCAACCTAAATCCCTGCAACCTCATACTCCATTCTGTCTATACACGTATACATAACATCAATCCTTTGTTTACCGTTATATCATATCAAACCAAAACTCTATCACATACCCTTATCCCTTCAAATTTGAAATCCATCTTCAGTTCTTAATATAATCGAATCCTAAGTTCATTTCTTAATCTACTCTGGCGTAATAATGAACCGAGATCATTACTTCAGAAGTAAGACTCAAACTCAAACACAAATCATTTACTCTTGTTCTATAATGTTATGTCCTTCGAATTCCATACTTTTACCAACTTTTTTTTGGTTTGGAAAGCTTGGGGGGAATTGCCAAAGCATGAGGAATCCCATGCGAATTCTTGTTGCTTTACAAGAGTAATTTGAGAAGCTTTTTTGCTTAAAAAAAGGATTAACTTTATTAATTACCATTACAATAACTCTCTCTCTAATCAATTATTCACCCAATCCCAGCAACAATAAATTAAAAGATTTAATTTTTATTTTCTTCGGCTTAAATTTGTATTTTAAAGGAAACATTTTTAAACTGTGCTTTTGAGATTGAAGAAGTGGGAAATAGAACAGTAGAGATTTTGTAATTTGTACCTCCAGACATTAAATCTTTTGCTTTGCTAGTACAAAGATGAACACCCAAAATGAGTTTAACCCAAAAAAAAAATAATAATTCATTTTTGGGCATCCAAACATGCCTTTAATCGCGTTGACTTTTTGACTTCATACTCACAAAAGCTTCAGGCCAAAAAAACAAAGGTGAACATGATCTTTTCTTCTTTTTTTCCACTGAATCTCCGGCAGGTAAGACAGCGACGCCGGCGGGAATATTGGCCGGAATATTCTTCTCTGTGTTACAGAAAGATAAAGCATTCAAGGGAGACAAGTGGATTTTCTAGTGATTCAGTATCGGTGATTTCTAACTTGCTCTCCATTTTACTGTTCTTTCTCTCCGATGAATCCGACCCGACACGACCTGGCGACCTGTTTGTCCTCCTCGCCGACGGGCTCCGACCCATTTCAGATCTATTGATTGCCGGCGATTTCGACCTCCTCCCGGAACTCTCACCGGGGTCCTTCTTTCTTGGGTCGGGCCTTGACCCGCTTCTCCTTATCCCTTGACTCGCGTCTCTTCCCTGAACTATCTTCACTGACTCAACACCGCCAATGCCGATTGTGCCGTTTCTTCTAGCGGGTGATGGATCGGATCTTCGAGTCGGGGACTTACCCACGACCCGATTCCTACTCGCCGACGATGGTTTCTGCAATTTCCCCGGCGATCTCAACCTCACCTGGTTTTGTTGTCTCACCTCTTCTTCATCTTCTCTCCTAATACTTTCATTTACAGAAACACTCTCGCTCATGCTCACGCTGCAAATCTCCGAGACCTCGGACTCTGCATCTTCAGTGTTGGTCCCAACGTCCACGTTGACGGCGGGGGTGGTGGTAATGGCGACTTTCTTGGTCTTCATCTCGAGATCATGTTCTGCTTCCTGAATCTTTTCGAGGACTGTGTTTTGTGGGTTTTTCTTCTCATCTGGCTCGATAAAAGCAAGAGAAGGAAGCTTAGGAGTTTCAGACAAAACCTCCTTTACTGTTTCTTCTTCTAGCAGAGAAGGAGGAGGTGCTCTGTTCTCATTTTTGAATTTTCCGTTGCAGGATTCAGATTCAGACTCCAACTTCTGGTTTTTATCCTCAATGTTGCAGTTAGCTTTGGTGCTTACACAGCAACCCATATGGAGGAAAGAGGTGATTTAACGAACCAGAATCAGAAATGGAATGAGGAAGACGACGGAGTTATTTTGAGTAAAATAAGAGAGAGAGCTTGGAGAGTGGTAATGGCGGAGAGTGAAAGAGAAGAGGGGGAGAGAGTAGGTGGTTGAAGATGTCAATGCATACATACATATAAAGGAGGAGGAGTCAATGAAAGCTCTTAAATTCTTATAGCTCTCTACGGTTGAAGAAGATACGGATTACAGAGTTTACAGAAAGTTACCAAATAGTAAAAAGAATTTACCCGGGGAAGGTAAAATAAATTTCTTTCTATAAGATGACTACAAAAATAAATAAAATAAGATGATATTGAATTGTCACATGCCTTTAGTAATTTGTTTATTCATTTATTTAGTGTCTTTGATGTAATTTTCACATAAATTTACTGCAATTATTATAATTAAAAAAAGTTATTTATATAATGAGGTTTTTTTTTTTGCAAGATTTTTAGTAGCTTCATAGAATTAAATTTAATTTATTCTTTCTAATTTATTAATATTTTAATTAATTAAATTTTAAATTTATTAAATAAAATATTTATAAAGTGATAAGTTATATATTTTAATGAGATCAAAACTTATAATCATTAATTAAATTATTAAATTATTAATTATTAAATCACTATGATGTTGCTAACTTATAAATAAAATTATTTTAAAAAAAAAATTATTTATTAAAATTATTTACATTGATCTCTCTGCATAATTGGTAATCAACTCCATATGTAAAGACTTAAAACTTAAAAAGTAATAAAGTTATAAATTAAATGCGGAAGTGAAACAATGAAGTTTAAGATTTATATTCCTTACACAATAATTTAGAATACCCAATAGGTGTACCAGAATGTTATTTTCAAAATAATAAACTAAAATCAAATAAATAAACAAAAGACAAATAAAAGAGTATTCTATAACGATATTCACTAGTTTTTGAAGAGAATTCGGGTAGTGCAATATTTACAACCCTCTTATTGATCGGGATCTGAGTCTTTATCTTCTTTATCTGAGATAGTTAACGAAAGGGTAAGCTACACTAGTTCAATAAAAATATCACATTACTCACCGATACAGAAACTGAGGATTGGAAAAAATCATAAAAATAATCAATAGAGCTCTTGATTTAAGTAAATTCATTTATCATAAGGAAAAATATTTATTGTATATATTTGCCGTTGCGAGATTTCCAAAATCGACTTGAAGAGACAATAACTCAAATAACATTCCAACCTCATTTTCAAGTGAGCAATAACAACTACTTTCTCTTTTGATTTGCTTACTGGTATCATTGGGGGTCCATAGGGATGTCCCACTACGCGTGAACTAATATTCAATATTGTCAATTATCAGGCCATCTCCATACCTCATCCGATATGAGTACCAAAAATATCATCCCTCAATTATAATACCCAAAATTAATTTTAAAAATTTTAAATTAAACAATAAAATATAATTTTTTAATTTATAAATTTTTATTTAATATAAAAATTAGAAAAAAATCAGAAATTAGCAGTCAAAATGCAATTTAAAAAAAACGTGTCACGTATGACCGCCTAATCAGCAGTCCCGATAAACCAGAATGCACCGCGTGGCAAGGCACACTGACGTAGTGCCACACAGGAGGCCAGGCACACGACCCGTGTGCTGACGATCGGACGATCCGGATTTATTCCCGCGCACGTGGACGGTCTGAATCCATTTCCTCCTAAGGCACGATCGTACAGTTCATATCAAATCTTGATGAACGGTCCAGATTCATTCATTTATTAAACGTGATCGGACGGTTAAGATCAAACGCGATGGATGACTAAGATTAGAGGAAAACAGATATAAATACCCCACTTCATACCAAAAACAACCCAACCCCCCCCCCCCCCCCCCCCCTCCGTCCGGAGAAAAAGAACTAATTGCTGGGAAGGGAGTCGCCCGTCGCTGTGTCAGAGCTACCTTTGACCACCAAAAGAGGTAAAAAAAATTTAAATTCACTCGAAATTGAATTTTGAAGACCTTCATGGTAAAATTGGAGCAAAAGGACCAGCGGATGAAAGGAACACCGTGGGTAAAGCTTGGAAAAAAATAAAAAATCGCCTCCGATGAGACCCTTCCCAATTTTTGTTTTGTGTAATTTTTTTACCATTGTATTCACCATTTTATTTTCCATAGATTAACTAAAGAAAAATGTTCAACCGCGAAGGTGAGCCGACGGAGCTGCCACACCAGAAAACTCTGCCGCTAGTAAGCTTCTGTTTTTCAACTTTTTTGGGTCAACTGAGGCCCCTTAACGTGTTTTCTCACAAGGGTGAGTACAAAACCAGCTGAAATCGGCAAAACTGGTCAAAAATGGCCTGCCCAAGGCAAACTGCCACCATGGACGGCGATACTATCGTCGAAGCAAAGCGGTGGTGCCATGCTGGAATTTTAAAATTAGCTAAAAAGAATTTCTAACACCAATTTTGAGTTTTTTGTTGTATTCTAGGTACTTGAAGTGTGTTTTTATATCCGAAGAAAAATTCAGAGAATTTAGGGACCGCTAGTAGGCGCAGCTATAAGTTTGACATTTTAGACACCGATTCGAGCAAGAATCTCTCATCTTATTTCATATTATGAAATTGAAGTTTAATTATCAATAATACAATATTTTATTAAACTTAGAAAATTTTGATAATTAATTATAGATTACTAATAGAGCCAGAACTGGTTATTTATTACTGTTTGTCATGTTTTAACTATTGATTGATTTGACAGTTTCATATGCATGATAATACACTGGAATTGATAGATAATTCAATTGTGTTTCATTGATGCATGCATTGCTTGTTTTACGTGATTTATAGTTAAATTAGAAAACTGAAAAATTAAATGTAAATGGAAAATTTCTTAATTAACTGAATGGATGAATGGTAGACTTACTAGATATTCTGGGAGATGGTGGACAGCCCTAGTATATAGGGAACCCTACTATGAACGTTGCCTTGTATCGAACGGGGTATCGAGAATTGGTATTTTTGGCGTTCATATTGGACGGAGTATAGGGACGGTCTTTTTCACCCTCATACCGGACAGGTATTGATGATTAGTATTTTTAGTACTCATATCAGATGGAGTATGGGATGATCCATTTCACCCTCATACTAGATGGAGTATTGAGGGATGATACTTTTGGCGCTCATACCTGATGGGGTGTGGGGATGACCAGGTAATTGACAATGTTGAATAATAGTTCACACTTATTAGGGACATCCCTATGGACACCTATCGATACCAGTAGGTAGATAAAAGTGAAAGTTATTGTTCTGACTGATTGAATATGAGATTATGATATTAGTTATGTTATTAGCTCTATAGGTCAGTTTTGAAAATCTCACTATGGTAAGTATGCGAAAATGATTTTATTTATAATAAATGAATTTACTTAAATTAAGAATTCTATTAGTTGTTTTCATGATTTTTACTAACCTTTATTTATGTATCGGTGAGTACTGTTATATTCTTACTGGGTTAGTATATCTCATTCTTTCATTAATTATTTTAGATCAGGAGGACTAAGATCAGGTTCCCGATTCTCAAAAGAGTTGCAAATAGGATACTTACTTGTTTACTTTCCATTTATTTTTTTTATTTTTTATTATTTATTTTAAAAGAGTTATTCCCGTAATCCTATTGCATAATCCGAATTATTGTGTAAGGAATGTAAACTCTAACTTTATTGTTTTGCTTCCGCATTTAATTTATAATTTATTTTTTTCAAAATTCCAGGCTGTTACATTAATACCTCATCCGATATAAGGGTGAATCGGGTCGTCCCCATATCTCGTCCGGTATGAGCACTGAAAATATCATTCTTTGATGACCCGTCTGGTATAAGGCAACGTTCACAGTAGGGTTCCCTATGTACCCGATCCATCCACCATCTTTCAAGATATCCAGTAAAACTATCATTCATTAACTCACATGACCAAACAATTTTTCATTTGCATATTAATTTCTAATTTTAAAAATCAACCATAAATCAGGCAAGACAAACAATATATATATATATATATATCAATAAAGCAAAACTGAATCATTCAACCATTCAGGTATATCATCATGTATTTAAAGCTGTAAATTCAACAATCACTTATACAGGATAACAAATAAATGACTAATCAGTTCCAGTTTCATTAGTAACTTGTAATTATTCTGAAAGTTTTCTAAATTACACAAAATACCATATTATCGATTATTAAACTTCAATTCCATAACAGTGAATAAGGTGAGAGATTTTTACCTGAATAAGTGTCCGAAATATTGAACTTTCTACTGCGCTTATTGACGGTCCCCGGGGTTCCTAAATTTTTATGTGGAGATAAAATACGCTTT